TAAATGGATGGCAGAAAAGGAGTAGGAGGGATAGTAAAAAGAGCTACAAAGAATAGGAAGTTGTGGAGAGCCATGATTGTCAGCAGTCAGAAAGGGTCGCTCAGACAGTTGATGTTGGTCGACCGGCTGATCGGTTGAACTCTCTGTCTTCAGGTGGGGAGGAACCTGAAAGAGGCTACACTGAAGGGCAGATTCTCTTTCGGGGAAGTAAACCGACCCTGAACCTGTTTCTACGGGTTCAATGGGCATATTTTTGGCCAAGCACGCAGGCTCGGAGATCCCACGTTAAACCGGCCTTGTGCCACATGATGCCCTCGTGTGTGTGTGGGGGGGGGTACTGAATATCGTCAGAAAGGGACACGGCACATAGAAGAAAAAGTGTAGAAAGTCAAATATTGAATTTTTTTCAGATGTCTTTTGGAAAACACTTCTAAAACTATTTGACTTAAATTTTGACTGTTCGAAGGCACTTTGTAATACATCTTTTCATGTCAGTTATGTGCCATACATGATACATGCTTAGGTGATCATGTATCTTTTGTTACATGACTGATGAGGCAGATTTTTTTCCTGCAGTAGGTTGCCATTTCTTTCTATGGTAGACCAGTTGCCATCCAAGGCTATAGAACCCAGTCTGTCCTGTTATTTACCCATAGCTGGGGGGGCAGGGGGAGAAGAAGTGTATTCATACCTTTCCCAAGGGTATTAGTATGTAAGTGAATGTAATGGAAATTCAAAACTCTGCTCTCTGATTCCCCAATCTGAGCCGCTATCCATTACTTTTCATGTAGAAAAATATATTATAGCTAAAATGAAAAAAATAAGTTTATTTCAATGCAACTCATTTTGTTTGGACATATAAACAAATATCAAGCAAGGTGATCACTGGTAGGTCTTGTTTGTGTAAAATTCATTATTAATTATCAATTCTAGGTTTAATTTAGTAATTTATTTTGTCTCTTTCATCATTTCATGAGTCCCATAGCCCGTTAGTCATAAGGGCACCGTATGTATTACAACCATAGCAGCAGTTGTATGTTTGAGGCTTTTGAACAGGAGTAGAAGTTTATCCCTTGATTCCTGTTTCAGATTGGGTTTCCAGTTCATTCTAAAGTATTTTTCATTCATTTTCACTCCAAGTAGCCCCTTGCATCTTAGTGGCATTATTGCTTTGCTTGGGGTGAATTTAAAAAAAAAAAGAAAAGAAAAAGGACCCTATTCCTCTTCAGGCTGGTTTTGAATTGTTTTCTTTCTTCTAGACTGGTTGCTATCTCAAAGCAAATGAGCCCATTCAGATCTCTTATTTAATCCATAGCTGGGAGGGAATAGGTTTGTACCTTTCAGAAAGCTCTTTGTACAAAAGTGAATGTAAAGAACTCATCTGGACAATTTCTCTTTCTAAATTACTAACTACTACCGAATGCACACATCCTTCATTTTTTTTGCTTAAATATTAAAAGTCTTATAAGAATTCATTGCACATCTGACTACAGTTATTGGTTAACATCTGTTCAAATTTCACTTATTTTCTCCTATCAACCATCAGATTGTTTTTTTTTATTCATCATCTAATTAGTTTCATGCTTTGAATTCCTCTTAACTTATTAAAGATATTTGGATTCTCCTTTTGGTTGTCGTCGTAATGCTATCGACTTATAAAGTTAAGTTGGGCATACATAAATGGATGGCAAAATGGAAGATGGGAGAGATAGAAAAAAGACACTCATTGCTTAGAGCTACAAAGTTGTGGAGAGTAATGATTGCCCATGTTCTTAAGGGACATGACACATAGAAGAAAAAGTCAGAGTTCAGCTTTCTCCCTGCTAACTATAGTAGTAAAACAAAATCTGCTTCATTTTTTTATTTTCTGTGAATTGCCATAACTTCTTGGGAATGATTATAAAATGGTTTCCTGTTGCTCTCTCCACAGTTTTAAATTCAAAATTGTCCTTCTACACTAGCTGCCACCATAGGTAAAGGTAGAAAAGATTGATTCATATCCTTCCCAAGAGCACTAGTGTGAAAGGAGCTCTCCCCTCAGATTCTTCCGGGGGTACTGGCACAGGAGGAGAAGGGTTTTTCTCCCGTCGAAGTAGCCTTCTCTCCTTCCTTGTGTTCTCCCACTGTTATATGACATCTGTTATGTAGTGGTGGTATGACGGGCTATGACTAGCTTAGACAAGCGGACTGAGTGGAAAAAACTGACATTGTGTCACAATCTGATTCAGGGGTGGGGGGTCGGGTGTTTAAGATAAATCTTGAGGACTACTGTGAAAGTAAATGCAATATATTGTCTAATTGCTTATATGACAGTGAATGCAGAACAGGTTTGTCACAGGGAAAGAAAAGAAGTGACGGAGATATGGTTCTACTGACGTGTGTTGAGAATACAATGGACGGAACATGTGAGAAATAAGGAAGTTTGAAGGAGAACAAGAATCGCAAACAATTGGGAAGAGCTAACTGAATTTTTTTTAATTCATAATAAAGAGAGAAAGCTTGGAGAATTTAACACTCTCGGGGCACATTGAAAGCAAGAAAAACAGCAAGTAATTTTTTATTGAAAATAATGAAACAGATTTTGCATCACAAAAAATAACGTGAATGAAAAAATTGAATTTTCCACAGTTTATTTTGTCACAGAGAATGAAAAGACTGGAAATGACGAGAATGTAGTTCTTCTAATGAGTGTTGAGAATAACATGAACAGAACATGAGAAATGAAGTAGTTTGAAAGTGAACAAGAATATAAAAGGAACCGATTTGTACTAATTAGTGCCTTTCATTAATCATTAAAGTCATTAAAATCATTAAAGTCATTAATTTGTGTCTTTTTTATAAGGCTTATTATATAAGAAAAATTATAATTGATCTTTTTATTTTAATATTATTTAAATGTCTGTTTTTTTTTTTTTTTATTTTTTTTTTTTTTTGGAAGCTGCTATACTTTATACACAATCTATTTGTCTTTATGCTTAATGAAAAATGATTAAATCTTTTACGTAGATAGTGAAGAGTATGAAAAAAAAAAAGCTCTGAATAAATCCCAGCTGTAAGCTGTTCTGTAGGAAAAAAAAAAACTATAAAACATTATCTTGAGATAATTAGATATTGTACCAGTTGTAACTTGTAAACACTACCATTGTTGGCAAGATTCCCTTTGAATTAGCAGGTGTCTTAATAGAATTAATTCACTGAAATTCTAAAGGTATTTATTTATTTATTTTTTTGTTAGCAAACAAATATAAATACAAGACAGTATTTTTCATTAAAACCCAAATTGTTGATGCTAGAAATGTGAAATATTTAAGGATGAGTACCTTGATCATTTTGTTTTCTTTAGTTGTTCAAAGGTTTTTTTCAATTTAAATTTAGTCTCTATATTCTGAAACACAAGAACTAATATTGAATTTGGATTATAGGCAAGATGGATCTGTGCTACACTTGGGAATCAGATTTTATAAACTTTAGTCTTAATTTCCTTTTCTCTTCTCTTTTTTTAAGTGTTGTATTGCTTCAGATTCCTCCCCTTCATTTTCTGTGAATTGCCAAAACTTTTTGGGAAAGGTAATGGAATGGTTTCTTGTTGCTTTCTCTGCAGCTTTGAATTCAGAATTCTACTGAATAGATGCCAACATGAGTAGAGGTAGAAAAGATTGGTTCATACCATTCCCAAGAGGAATAATGCGAAAGTGAATGCAACATAATATCTAATCTGCTATATGGCAGTGAATGTGAGACAATTTTCTCACAGCGAAAGAAAAAAGACTTGAAGTGATGGAGACATGGTTCTATCGATGAGTGTTGAGAATACAATGGACAGAACATGTGAAAAATGAGAAAGCTTGGAGTATTTAACACTCACAGGACATGTTGAAAGCAAGAAAAACAGCAAGAACCTAATTTTTTATTAAAAATAAATGGGGCACATTCTACAGCACAAAAAACAAACTGTTGTAACCTAGGGGAGGTTACTGAATAGAATAATCACAAGAAGGTTGGTAATGAATGATAATACTTAGAACAAGAACAGCACATATAAGATTTGTCAGCAGCATGTAGAAGAAGTACTCAACTGCTAGAAGTGAGTCAAATGAATCTCCAACTGCAGACCAACATACAGTATTTACTACTGTATTTATGTGAATGGGGACGTGTCCATTATTGTCTGTGGGTATCCTACAACAGAAATGTGAACAAAAAATTGAATTTTCCGCAGTTTATTTAGCATTTGCATGTCAAACTTTTTTAGGTGCTAAATAAATTAGAATAATGAAAGAGAAATAGAAATATCTAGAAACTTTCTGGTTATTGAGGGCTTAATATTTTTGTTTTTCCATCTTTTTATGAATTATGAAATTTAATTGAGGAAAACAAACTTTGAAGCCAAAATAGATTTGAAAATCCATTTTGGAGATTTTGTTTCTTGTCTACCATTTATCCTTGCTTTGCATATTGCTGTTACATTTGGTCTGATAGCTTCTGTTATGTATTTAGAGATTCTTGATAAAATACAAAGAAGAACCTGCATTTGTTCCTGACAAATGTTAAAAGCCACTGAAATGTAGCTTCCCTGTGCCTTTTCTCTAAATACTTTCAGGCTAATTGTTCTAATGAACTTTGCTGTATGGTACCTAGACTTTATGAATGTAAGTGCAATACTAGATTGGCGGCAAGGTCTCATCATTTTACAGTTGAAATAGCTAGATGTAACCATAAGTTTTATGCTAACAATTTCTTCTCTCACACTTCTTGTTTGTGGAGCTCTTTTCCGACTTCTTGCTTTCCAGTCAACTTTGCACTTAAATTTTTGAAGATCAATGTCAGTTGTTATCTTCTGTCTTCTTAATTCCTGTTCTTTTGTTGCTCTCTCTACCATAATTGTGTTTATTTCTCCTATTCTCTAATACTCAGCAACCCCTTGCATCTTAGTGGCTTTATCGCCTTTCTTGGTGTGAAATGAATTACAAGTGAACTTTATTGAACATTTGACTTAGGGCCAAACACCGGTTCAACTATGATCACTGAAGTTAAGCAACATTGAGCCTGGTCAGTACCTAGATGAGTGACCACTTGAGAATACCATGTGCTGTAAGATGGGAGTTGCAGGTGGTGTAATGGATAATGGCTCAGAATTGGAGATTAGAGTTTCAATTTCAGTCAGGTAGGTTATATACACTTATATGCAAATAATCTTGGAAAAGGTATGAATCCATTTATTCTTCCCCCAGATATTGGTTAGTAAAATCATTATTATCTCCAATACAATCTCAAATATATTTTCTGGTTTTAAATAACCTACAAAAGGTTGATAAGCAGTAAAAAACAAACCAGTGAAGTTATTCTAAGTTGTTTCTAAAACATTTACTTGGAATGTAAAAAAAAAAAAAAAAAAGGGAGGATACAAAAAAAATCAATGCAAATTTACCAATGTTTTTAATCACTGGGAAGGATAAAATCTTTAAATTTTTTGCTTACCTCCTTCGCCATTCTCTGTGGTTAGTTTATTTGCAATGTGAAGAAAGTAGGATTTTTCCTTTGCAGATTTTTTTGTTTTCTTTTGTTTCATTAAAAATCTAAATATTTGTAATTCCACCAAAAAAATTTTAAAGAATCATTTGCTTTATTTATTCACTTAATTTGTATTTATTAAATAACTCAATAACCTACTATTAATTTGGGATTAAATAATGTGTAAAAATTTCACATTAATTTCTAAAATTAATGTTAAAAATTTATATTAATTTGTTAAATTGTTTAAATTATTTTAATAGGTTATTCTGGTTTAATTTAGCATAGAAAACAGCTTTTGTTTGATTATGTCAAAGAATCAATACTTTTCTAACACTTTTCTTTTATGTAGTTACATTATTTAGTTGTGGACTATTATCCCCATCTTTGTTGTTGTTATCCCAGGTTTTGTACCCTCCAGTCTTCTGTGGCTTCGTGTCAGATATTTTTTTAAATACTGTTAACTAATCCATGTATTCTTATACAAGGTGTCCCAAAAGTCACCATGGGGTAAAAAAGTTTAATATTTTTTTTTTTTGTTTTTAACTACTGTTTTTTTCTTTTGGGTATTTTATAAAGGGTGTTTTGGAAATTAATCATGTAAAAATACATGACTAAAAAATGAACAAATAGTGGAATTTATTTACCAAAATAAGTTTTGAGAGTAACGTTTCAGTAAGTCACTTTCTACAAAGTGGCAAATGACATTCAGTTATGAATGAAGGATCAAGTAAGGGAAAGTACTGAAGAAGATCTGAGCATATCAACTGGAAGGTGATCTCATCAGGTTTGGTTCTCTCAGATATCACTCCAACAAACTCTTAAAAGCATCAACCTGTTTCCTTACAACAAGATGGGTGTGACAGGTCAAATGGCAAACTTTTGAAAGAAGGATAATTTTTTGTGGTTGCACCATAAACTAGCCACCACATTCCCTGGATCTGACAAGCCCTGATTTCTTCCTGGGGTTGACGGGTATCACAAAGGAAAGGTTTCTGCCAAGAAACCTTAGACTCTCCAACAGCTAAAGGACAACATTCAGACAGGACTCAGAGCAATAGAGACTGAAACATTGATAATTTTGATGGATAATGCCTTAGAAAGAGTATGTCTGTGTAAATCTGAAAATGGACACCACTTAAGGGATTCAATCTTTTGCAACTAGTGTAAACTTATTTACCAAATCTAATCTATATAATACTATGGTTTTGTAAATTAAAGTAAAAAAAAAATAAAAATAAAAGAGACATTAAATTTTGAAATCCATTGGTGACTTTTGGGTCACCCTATATTTATCCTTCTGTGTGTGTGTGTGTGTGTGTGTGTGTGTGTGTATATATATATATATATATATATTGTGTGTATTTAGGCAGCATCTTTTCATTCATACACGTTTCATTAAATAATATAGACAAGTGTTGTCTATTTATTTTATGTAAATTCTTTTCATAACGTCTGATAAATTTAATAACATTATCATTGAATGAAGAAAGAAATTCACAATATTGATCCATATTTTTTAATACAATCTAAGCTTTCGGCTTACATAAGCCATTATCAAAGATGTCAATTACAACATATTAAGCAATATACGGACAAGACAGTGATGTTAGTCTGTGATTGTTTACATAGATGATTTCTAAGCAATGATAAACACATGCATATAAGACACTAGAAGCAAAAATCGCACAGCATCTCATGACGTCACACATGACCACGTGAGAGTGAATTGGAGAAGTATGAAGTATGGGAAGCCGTTGGTATAAACCAATGGCTTCTGTTACCAATTATAGACATTTAAGGATATTTGTAGAGATTCCATAATATATATGTATGGAATTGTTACTTTGCCTTACAGAAGTAAATGCAAACCATGTGAAGCGTGTTGAGAATGCAGTTTTCTGTATATTTTCAGTTATTTATACCCATACGTGAATGGATCAAGTGAAGTAGGGTGTGAATTAAAAACTTGAACCAACCATGTTTATGTCAATTTAATTTTCATTTAACAGCAATTTACATTTTTTTATATTTTATGTAAGGGTAAATATAACACCCACATCCTGAACCATTCACACACACATACACACACACACACACACACACATATATATATATATATATATATATATATATATATATATATATTGTTTTTTTCTTGTCCATAGTATACAAGTTTATTTTTTGTATATACAATGAAGTATTACCTTGATTCATTTATATATATATATATATATATATATATATATATATAGGGGAAATTGTATGGTTAAGTGCAAAAAGTTTACTTGTGATACGTTTTTGTCCTTCAGGGCTTCATCAGACTAAATTTGTTATGTTAGTAAGACAACATATGTGCACAACAGAGTTGTGCTGGGAATTTTAGAATTTTTTTTTTATCTAGCCAAATTCATTTAGAATCTTTTTCTTTTCATACAATTTCCCCAATACTGTTCTTGATATATAAAAATATATATCATTATCTCGTGTGTATATATATATATATATATATATATATATATATGTGTGTGTGTGTAATTTGAAAAAAATAACCATAGCAAAAAATGAAAAAAAATAGAAAGAAAAGCATTTGTGACCTTTTTTATTTACTGTTTGCTTACTTGTTCTACCTGTTTCACCTGTGTCAGGTGACATACTGCCCTGCATTCCTAAGACTTACCTGACCTGAATTAAGTGTTGATAGCCACCACAGCCAGTACAACTTCTTACTTGCTTCATACCAATGCGACTGGCCAATGGCTTTGCCTTTCATAACTTCTTAATAGCTTATTGTCCTCTGAAAAATAAAATTAACAATAAGAACAAGGGAGAAGAACATATTACTGTATTGGACACTTGATTTTTTTTTATAATATAGATTCTCATATATGAAACTTTTACTGTCATGAAATGATTTATTGACTGTTAAAATAAAAATAAAGAAAATACTTCTATATATTCAATCTTTATGATAAAGAAAGATTAGTTGATTTTGTTAATGTTTTAATATCTATTTCATGTGAAATAAGAAAGTTTCATTAGAAATAAAGAAAAGAGTGCTAAATTGCCATGTAATATTGAGCCTACTATATGGCAGTGAATGTTTAAATATCTGAGAACAGATGATGGAGAATGTGACACTGAAATCCACAAGCACATTAAAATACCAAATGAAGCCTTCAAAAAACTAAGCAAAGTATTAAGAAACTAGAAAATACCACCAGAAACAAGGAAAAGAGTGCTCAACTTCCACATAATATTGTTTCTCCTTGTTTATTGAATACTGGGCATTTCCTTACAGATGAAGAGGAGACTTGAGGCAACAGAGATGTACAGAAGGATACTGAGAATACCATGGATGGAGCATGTAAGCAACGAGGAAGTTTTAAGGAAAATGGAAACAAAAAAAAACACCTGTACTTAGAAAGGGTTGGAATTTTCTAGGAGACTCAATGAGGAAAGAATCCTTGGAAAATTTGACACTCACAAGATATATTGAAGGCAAGCTTATGAGAATGGATGGAAAAACAGGGAATGAGCAGGATAGTAAAACAACAAATATTGTTAAGAGTTATGAAAGATAGGAAGTTGTAAAGTGTCATGATCGTTCATGTCCTGGATGGACATGGCACATAGAAAATTCTTTTCTGAGATTGATGGAAATAATGACTGAAATGTTTTATCTTGAGTGAATTCAAACATAATTAACAAGAACAACATCTCTTCTATACCTGAAGATGTCTGTAGGAACAGACGAAAGCTTGTAGTAAAAATAAGAACTAATACGGCAGAAATTTATAGAAACAAGGATCATTTCATTCATAACGGATTCGGAGGTTTTTGTATATTATTTGAATTGTTTGCGACGATGGATTTCTCGCTAATTAAATCATTAACCTTTGCATTAGTTTTTGTGTGAATAATTCATGAATTTGTAAATTGATTGCACGTTTATCGTAATATATATATATATATAATGCCATTATACTGCACTATGAAAATAATAAATGCAAACTTCAAATACTTGAGGCCCTATATATCAAAATCAACCAACCAACACTCAGCAAAATCCATTATGAATGTGATAACAACATGTTCAAGTACTTTTAACATTTGATGCCATTTTCCATTTCTACCAATTTTCGGTCATCTCCCTTATATTGAAATGCTTCTTTTGTAAAAGATTTTTTAGCTACAGAGGATAAATTTAAAATAACTATAACAGAGTGAATCCGCCAAAAATCCCCATCACAATGGAAAGCAGATTCTATCACACAATAGGTTTGTCTTTGTAGTTTACCATTGAAGATGATCTTGGAAAAGAGTGAAAGTACTAGTGTTAAAAAAAATTACAGCGCCTTCCTTGATAAATTTCATTTTGACATCAAGAAGCTGAGTAGACAATTGAAAAGGATCGGTTTAAAAATCAATAGAACCAAAATGTATATATTTTTCGATGAAACTTTTGAATGATGATATGCTGTCTAAATATATATATATATATATACACACATACACACATACAACAAATGCAGTAAAATATACAAATACATACATATCCAATTTCAAAATATCTATAAAAAA